CGAAGGGGGGGGCGGGTACAGCTGGCTCTGCCTCTGGATAGGCAGAGCCAGCTGTTAATCCCACAGCTGGGTGGATCCAGACAGAATTGTCGGGATCCATTTTGGCTGCGGCATCTATGTATACCGCGAGCGGTATACTGAGCTTTGAGTCACGGGAGGACGCTAGTTTGCGTTCTCCCGCGACCCTCAGGAGAACTAGGGGGAAAAGCCCTGACCCCATAGTTCCCCGTTAACATCTGCTCTGATATATTGGGATAATTGTGTCCATTTACCTTTTTCTTTCTTTTGCAGTGATGGGGTCAGTGAGGGCGAGCTTGCCGAGGAGATGGGGCTGGCGAGGTCGGCGTACATGTCCTCCGAGTCGGCGCTACGCACAGAACTGCTGCTGGAGGAAACGCTGGAGACAGATGAGACGCTGCTTACGCTGAGCGACCTGGTGAAAAAAAAAACACGCATACACACCACATGAGTGAGGAAAAGATAGACCCAAAAGATAGACTTCCGCTGTACAGATAAAATATTCACTCAGGTTCCACACAGAATGAGGAAGGGTGGAAACTAGGGATGCACCTATACTGGGTATTTTCACAAGTAAAAATGCCCCAATACCAAAAACCGATACGGGTGCTTAAAATTTTAAATGGAAGCAGCTGCCTGAGGTCCCGCGCTTGCTGGGGACCTTGGGGCAGCCTTCTTGGGAACCATGCGGCCCCTGGTTACAGCACTTCCGCTGCCCGCACATCTCCCCCTGCTGAGACCTTCCACACCCCTCCTAAGATCCTCCTCCTGAGACATCAGAGCGGCAGCACAAAGTATGTAGTAAATTCATATGCTGCTATTCTGCATTGCTGTGTAATGTATTGCTGGGATTTGTAGTCCTCTATAGCTGATGGTATTATTCTGCATTGCTGTGTAATGTATTGCTGGGATTTGTTGCCCTCTATAGCTGATGGTATTATTCTGCATTGCTGTGTGATGTATTGCTGGGATTTGTAGTCCTCTATAGCTCACGGTATTATTCTGCATCACAGTATAATGTATTGCTGGGATTTGTTGCCCTCCATAGCTGATGGTATTATTCTGCATTGCTGTATAATGTATTGCTGGGATTTGTTGTCCTCTATAAATGACGGTATTATTCTGCATTGCTGTGTGATGTATTGCTGGGATTTGTTGTCCTCTATAAATGACGGTATTATTCTGCATTGCTGTATAATGTATTACTGGGATTTGTAGTCCTCTATAGCTGATGGTATTATTCTGCATTGCTCTGTAATGTATTGCTGGGATTTGTAGTTCTCTATAGCTGGTGGTATTATTCTGCATTGCTGTATAAAGTATTGCTGGGATTTGTAGTCCTCTATAGCTGATGGTATTATTCTGCATTGCTGTATAATGTAATGCAGATTAAAGAAACCCTATTATCCTTCCGATTCAGGGCACTGTGAATGGATTTGTGTGAAGCCCAATTACACACCACAGGTATGCCCACTACGACAACCGAGTAGCAGAGAGCTTAAAAGGTGGCCATGACATCACCCACACCATCATGATTGGTCACTAGGCCCGAGCACTGCATCATAGGAAGAGGCTCCCCCCCACCCGGTAGGTAGGAGAGGTGGTGGGAGGGGCGGAGAGGCAATTCTAGGCCGGTTAATGGGGGTTTTACAAAGGGCCTGAATAGGTGGGTGACGGGGTCTCTAGGGTAGTAGGAGCACTTCGGGTCCGGGTCCTTAAGATGTTTTTCAGAAACTAAAAAGGCATTTTTTTGCACCAGCATGGCGGAGACGACATATTTCTACTTTCAGATTGACGCCAGTAGTTATGGGATTAAGAGGGAAGTTTTGGGATTGATCATCTAGGTACTAGAATGCAGGAAGGTTTTAATCATCGCTTGGTCAATGATTTATTTAAAGGATAAGAGGAAATCATTGTATGTAAATATCCATTGTTTGTGCATAGCAGTATAAGGCGGTTCAACCCATCTAATATGCATACGGTAAATACTCAGATTATTTGTCATCAGTTGCTATGGGTTACTCTGTGACCAGAAAAGCTTCGTTGGGTGCGGTGCAGTTCCTATTTCAGGCTCACGGACACTTTGGTCATTTGTGCCAAGGTGTTTTTTTTTTAAAATGTGTGAATTCAAAGTGAAGCTTTAAGCCGCTCAGACGGATGCGCTGATCCAAATGTTTCTAGGCAAAGCCGGAGTGGCCGTAACAGAGGTCACTGAGCCCATGCCGCATTCTACGCCGACCACGGCAGCCCAACTGACATTGAACAAAACGCATATTTATGAAGTGGACTGCGCTCTTCGTTTGGGATCCAACTGTTGTATCAACTATTTCATGGTCACCGATACTATGGACTTAAAACCTACACGCCACAATAAAACCCAATAACCATAAAGGGTACCGATGCAATGCTTTTAGAGCCCCCATATGACCATGTTTCATGTTACAACCCGTGTTTAGGGTATAACATAGCTGCATTCCCCAAACCCCCAAAATGCCCCGTCCTCATCTGAACCATAGGGTGAATCTCCCTGCAGCGTCTTTTTTTTTAAAATTTCATGAGGCTCCACCCACACAGCTGTGTCATCCATTCACAGGACAGGCATGGAGCTGGGAGTACACAGTGTAAGAGCCTGTGCACTGCACCTGTGACACAATGATCACAGTTGCAATGCTCTGCAGGCCGGAGGTGCAACAGGTGGACTATTCCTATAATTGTAATCTGAATGCGAGTGTATTATACCTTCTAGCTTCTATACCCTTGGCTCCTGCTCTATTTGTGCTTTCATTCTGCTTGAGAGTTCCAGCTGAAGGACTTTTAGTCCATGAGACCAAAAGACAGAGAGGCTTGACGGTGGCTATACTGCCCAATCTTAAGCTGCCCATTCATTATGCAAATTGCGTCCAGTTCTTCAGGGACCAGCTGAAATTCGCAGTGCGTGCCGCTGGCAGCACCCTCTTGGCCGGCATCCCTCGATTAGCTGATCAGAGGAGCCGGTCGGAAAATCTGCAATCAAACAGAGCGGGCAGCCAATGAGCTGCCGGCTCTGTGCAAGGTATACTGACAGTGGCTGGCAAATTCAAAAAGAGAACAGAGGGGGATCACTCGATCAATGCTCGTAAGCGTTGGAGGAATCTGTTCTATTTTTAGCCTGCAATACTTTAAATACAGCATGAGGTTAGTATTGTAGTGTATATGATCCTATAGTATCCAAGGGATTGTGTTAGGGGATAATAGTTGATACTGGGAGACTGGATCTGAGATGGAGAGCGTAGGTGTGCCTAATAATATGTATTGTTTTTTTTTTAAGCCCTCAAGTCACACTAGAAACGGCCGGCACGTACAGCTCTGTGCTGCGTGTACGGCCGTATCGCTCAGCTCACGGGAAGGACAGGTGCTGTAAGATTATTACGCAGCCCCCGTCCTTCTCGATGGTACTACGCGGCCGTACGCCACCCTACGTTCACGTCCGTGCGCGTGTCCGTACTCGTATGCGGACAGGATGGATCCTGTCTGCGTCCGAGCCAGGAAACACGCACCCATGGAGAGCTGCACTTGGGGTGAGCGTAGGGGGGCGTACGGCCGCGTAGTCCCATAGAAAGGGACGGGGGCTGCGTACTAATCACACACAGCACCTGTCCTTCCCGGGAGCTGAGCGATACGGCCGTACACACAGCACAGAGCTGTACGTGCCGGCCGTTTCTAGTGTGAATGAGGGCTAATGCTGTCTATGCAAAGTTTACACAAAAAACTTCCCCCGTAATTGTTGTGTACGGTACCGATGAATTCAAAGATTATCTTAGAAAAGATACGAGGACACACGAGAGGGGGGGAAGACAGGAAACTCCGGAGGACAATGTATACATAATGACAAGCTTTTTCTGCATAAACATTTAGAGGAAGTTAAAGCGGAGCGTACCTGGACTTCCTGTTTCACCACCATTTCAGGAATGCACAGGACAAAAGAAAAAGAATAGGAGATGCATTAGTGTTATAAACAGGCGTGTCACATGATCAATGTACAAGCAGACCACCATTAACAAGCGGCTGCTGGGAGGATTCCGAAAGGCCATAAAGTCATCTATTTATCACAAGTCAACTATATTCATTATTCTTAAATCCCTTCCCAGCAGCCGTTTGTCTGTCATTACAAATACTAGGCAGCAAACGCTGTGTTGTGCTTTCCGAAACTAGTTTTATTCAGTTATTAGAGCCCCACTAAGGCTAGATTAGATAGCAGCAGGCGCCCTTGTTAGAAGTTCTGCTCTTTCTTCAGGTTCCCCCGGCTCCATTCCCCAGCACAGGATCAGGAAATGCTGCACAACAACCGCTTCCAGCATCAGCGTTTTCTATTGAGGAGACCGGTCACCCCAGCCGGCTGAGCACTGGGTGAGTGCTCATCTCAAAGTCCCTCCCCCTACTAGCTCTGCACGGCATGTCTACGTAGCCCTGCAGGCTGAAAGAGGATCCTGGGTTTTCACCTGAACCTTAAACACTTCAGGATATTAAACCCAGAAGATATGTTCTGCTCCTCTCCCCCAGCCCCCATTATGTATCCACCAAGCAGGAGCGGTTGTCCAAATGCAGCGGTTCCTGTGTGAAAAGACACCGACAGACAGTCCGCAAGTGTCATTGAGTAAATACAGTGTAACAATGTATTGCGACATTGTAATTACTTTTTTTTAAAAACATATATAGATCAAAAGGGGTCAACTTTGATCTGCATTTGACATTTTTTTTTCTCTCCGTATCTCTAAGGCCTTGTTCACACCAAATGCAGAGCAGATCCGGTCAGGTTTCTGCACACGCACGCTATTTTTTTAGATGCGTTTTTGACTAAAAAAATAATACAAATCTTTTTTTTTTTTAATGTTTAAAATGGGCTTTCAATGCGTTCCAGGCATTTGCAGATCCAGAGCAGGTAAAATAGGGCCTGCTGCAGCTTTTTCACCTGCTCTGGAACTGCACGCTGCGATGTGAACAGGAGCAAAAAATACAATTGGACGCAGTTTTGATCCGGTCTGCAACTGATCCGCTCTGCGCTTGGTGTGAACAAGGCCTAAAGGTTGAACTCGATGGACTTGCGTCTTTTTTCAACCTGACTATGTAAAAAAAACCTTAGAAGTAAAAAATTAAATTAAAAAAGAATTATAATAAAAATGTATTTTTATTCAATCCCTAATTAACCCATTATCAGCCGCAATTAATTCCTCCCCCGGAACCTTTTATTTTTTTCAGCATCGTATAAAATTGAGGAAAAAACAAATACATTTACAGTATTTTTTTTTTTTTCCCCCACAAAAAAATCATTTTTCACATCTTTTCGTCTAAGGAACATCAATATTGCAATTAGAAAGCCTAGTTTGTCCCCCCCCCACCAAGAAAAGCAACCAAGGGAAATGATCAAGACTGGAGCAGACCGAATCTGGAGCAGATGCCCATAGTAACCAATCAGCTTTTATCATTCATTATTAAATCTTAAGGCCCCATTCACACACGAATCTGCCCGCACGTACAGCTCCTTGTGGGGCCCTACCAAGCAGCTGCCGGGAAGTGCAGGTGCTGCGTGTGATTAGTACGCAGCCCGAGTCCTCTATGGGGCTACGCAGCCGTACGTCCACCCTAAGCTGGCCCGCCCTGCACGTCCGTAGGGGCTGCGGGTGAGCGTATTCATACGCCGCCGGAATGGATCCTGTATGCGTCCCGGCCAGAAAAATCCGCACCCCTACGAACCTGCAGTTGAGGTGAGCGTACGGCCGCGTAGCCCCATAGAGAAGGACGGGGGCTGCGTACTAATCACACGCAGCACCCGTCCTTCCCGGCAGCTGCTTCGTACGGCCCCGCAAGCAGCACGGAGCTGTATGTGCCGGCCGATTCGTGTGCGAATGGGGCCTAACTGAACAAACTGAAGAGAGAAGCTGATTGGTAACTATGGGTGACCAGTTTTGATAAATTCCCTCCAATGCGCCTTCAGTGAGCTGTAAAAAAAATGATTACATTGGCACCTTTATGTTCTTTATCTGAATCAGATGCAGTGTTGCTTTTAGAGATATATTTCTAAAGATCTCACCTGGATTTTCGGGACGCGGATGGAGAAGGTGAAGCGGTGGCCGATGAAGATCCAGAGGACAATGTTCGGGATCCGGACCTAGAACTGGAGCCGCTGTAGCTGCTGCCGCTGATGCTGCCGCTTACCGTTCTCCTAAATGAGACAATAAAGATTTGATACCCGTCGGGTGGGATGGCGAAGAGGTACCTATAGGATGCGCCTGGTTTGAGTTGGCTTACCTTCTGGGTGGAACTTTCTTCTTCGTCTCCTTGGCTCGTCCAATTCTGTTTTCACTGGTTTTAGGTGGCTCTGCTCCGACTTTTACAGGTTTTACCGCCGCTACGGGTACTGCGGGAGGGGCAGCTTTCTTCACATTTGGTTTGTCTCTGAATGGCGAGAAGGGAAAGAAAAATGTCCATGTTGTAGTTATTCAGTCCTGGAATAAATGTTCCCTGCAGGCTTGTTCACAGTAAGATAAAAGGCTCATTTTAGTTTTGGAAATGCCATTGGATCTTCACACCCAGTGCAGGCCGGGCAGTGACGGCTCCCCCGCTGGCGTTCACTCTACTACTCTTTTCTACTACCCCTCCTCTTTTCTACTACCTGCAAAATACCATATAGTCACTCGCACTCCGTTAGTAGATAGCAGCCAATCTTCTTTATTGACTGAACATGATGTCACATGCATAAAGCTTTGTGTATGTGACATCATGTTCAGTCAATAAAGAAGATGGACTGATATCTACTGAGTGCGAATGACTTTATGGTATTTTGCATTTGATGTGCGGAGGCATTTGCTGTCACTTTCGGCACCCCCCAGTTTTCATTTGGGCTTTATCCGGTCAGGAGTGCGATGGGATCTACTACATTTTGAACTTTTATACTACCAGTCACATCATTAGACTGGTACTGCCAACCCAACCGCTTAATTTCCCCTAGAAGCCCACCAGAGAGCCTCCCACCCATTAGCTTACAGACAGGTCCCCCCCCCCCAGCAGGTGTGTTTGACACGCTGTCCTTCTGCCTTGTTGCGGCTCCCCTTACTGTCCCAGTGCCCATCACACTTCCATTTCCTATATGCGGTGTCACAGAGACAGGATGTAAGGGGAAATCTCCCCAATGAGGCCACTTAGTAAAGTTATGTGTCAACTGTGGCATGCTGCATGCTGGAACATTTGAGAGGGCTAGCTAGGGTGGGCCGGGAGAGGGCTAGCTAGGGTGGGCCGGGAGCAGGGAGAGGGCTCGCTAGGGTCGGGAGCAGGGAGAGGGCTAGCTAGGGTCGGGAGAGGGCTAGCTAGGGTCGGGAGAGGGCTAGCTAGGGTCGGGAGAGGGCTAGCTAGGGTCGGGAGAGGGCTAGCTAGGGTCGGGAGAGGGCTAGCTAGGGTCGGGAGAGGGCTAGCTAGGGTCGGGAGAGGGCTAGCTAGGGTCGGGAGAGGGCTAGCTAGGGTCGGGAGAGGGCTAGCTAGGGTCGGGAGAGGGCTAGCTAGGGTCGGGAGAGGGCTAGCTAGGGTCGGGAGAGGGCTAGCTAGGGTCGGGAGAGGGCTAGCTAGGGTCGGGAGAGGGCTAGCTAGGGTCGGGAGAGGGCTAGCTAGGGTCGGGAGAGGGCTAGCTAGGGTCGGGAGAGGGCTAGCTAGGGTCGGGAGAGGGCTAGCTAGGGTCGGGAGAGGGCTAGCTAGGGTCGGGAGAGGGCTAGCTAGGGTCGGGAGAGGGCTAGCTAGGGTCGGGAGAGGGCTAGCTAGGGTCGGGAGAGGGCTAGCTAGGGTCGGGAGAGGGCTAGCTAGGGTCGGGAGAGGGCTAGCTAGGGTCGGGAGAGGGCTAGCTAGGGTCGGGAGAGGGCTAGCTAGGGTCGGGAGAGGGCTAGCTAGGGTCGGGAGAGGGCTAGCTAGGGTCGGGAGAGGGCTAGCTAGGGTCGGGAGAGGGCTAGCTAGGGTCGGGAGAGGGCTAGCTAGGGTCGGGAGAGGGCTAGCTAGGGTCGGGAGAGGGCTAGCTAGGGTCGGGAGAGGGCTAGCTAGGGTCGGGAGAGGGCTAGCTAGGGTCGGGAGAGGGCTAGCTAGGGTCGGGAGAGGGCTAGCTAGGGTCGGGAGAGGGCTAGCTAGGGTCGGGAGAGGGCTAGCTAGGGTCGGGAGAGGGCTAGCTAGGGTCGGGAGAGGGCTAGCTAGGGTCGGGAGAGGGCTAGCTAGGGTCGGGAGAGGGCTAGCTAGGGTCGGGAGAGGGCTAGCTAGGGTCGGGAGAGGGCTAGCTAGGGTCGGGAGAGGGCTAGCTAGGGTCGGGAGAGGGCTAGCTAGGGTCGGGAGAGGGCTAGCTAGGGTCGGGAGAGGGCTAGCTAGGGTCGGGAGAGGGCTAGCTAGGGTCGGGAGAGGGCTAGCTAGGGTCGGGAGAGGGCTAGCTAGGGTCGGGAGAGGGCTAGCTAGGGTCGGGAGAGGGCTAGCTAGGGTCGGGAGAGGGCTAGCTAGGGTCGGGAGAGGGCTAGGACCAGGGGTAGGGACAGAAGCAGGGAGCTCTCCAGAGGATGAAAGTCATAAAGCGGTTTCTATTTAAACATTTTCTGGATGAAAAGCGCCAATTTCATTGAGAAGACGAATGCAATAAAACAGTCAACACGCTTCGTGTGTGTGTGTGTTGAAAGACTTGGTAGGGCTTAGCAGACACTACAAGAGATCTATTCTGGACAAGAGAGCTGGAATAATCCCTAGTAAATGCATCCAAGCCTGAGCCGGCTGCTGGTTAATGCCGCTGGAAGGTCTAAGCTGTGTCATATTCACATGCACTATGGCTGACGTGGTGCTACGCTTTGCTAGGTGACATTACACCGGCAGATACCGAGCTGTGAATTGAACTAGAACGTTTATTTTCATTTCTTTTTTTAGCGCTTTAAACTCGAACTAACAAGGTTGCGGGGGCGCGGACATTATCAGGAAGTTCTGTCACAACACAAATGTTTCTATTTCAATTCATCTCGAGTCAAGAAATCATCCCCGGGGCAAAGCTGACACACTAAATTTATCAACAAACAAGAAATCTCACATTTTGAGCTGCGGACGTGAAAAGAATATACACTCCAAACAAACAAAATGGAAAAAAAAAGAAAAAAAGTTCTAAAAATAAGTAATTCTGTCCCGTAGGAGGATATGCTAAAAGGAAAAGGATAAGAATGGTGTGAAGGGAAATGTCTTACCTTAGATCGTAATCATTGGAAGCCGATCCGCCATACTGCAGGAAATGCTGAATATCACAATGAGCTGGGGTGTGCTCAGATTGCAACTGATGAGAAACTAGCATTGTGACTGATGGTCCACCGGCGAGGATCCGGGGCCCCCCTTTTCAGCGGCTCCGTAAAACTTCTTGCAAATTTGTTTGTGCGTGTTACAATGAACACATTATCTGCTGTGTTATCCTAGGACCTTGTACACATTTCACACAGCAACTGCCAAGTAATCAGCAGTGGTAAGGCAGAAGTTTTAGTTTCTTCTATTGAATTCTGTGCTACTGTGGTAAAAAGATGCATGCAGCCGAGAGGTCCGGACACTACACACTGGTCACCAGGTTTACGATTATAGAGAGTAAAATCCTCTTTTTTCTCATCTATTGAGGGACACATGAAGCATTTAACCTTCAGGACATCTAAAAGCAGTCCAACTGAGGGGTGGGCAGCACAGCAAACAGGTCCAGGAAAATATCAAATAACCGGGGACTACTTGCAGCTCAAACTGATGATCTAAAAAAGGACCTTAAGTTGGCATTAGATGCAGTCAAAGCATACACATGGTAGAACTTCAGGGCGAGGGCTCGCCAGGGCCCGGGGGCAGGGCGAGGGCTCGCCAGGGCCCGGGGGCAGGGCGAGGGCTCGGGGGCAGGGCAGGTTGGGTTTAGGGTGAATGGTGTGGTAAAATAAACGATGATAACAAAAGACTAAGTTAAAAACATCTTACGCCATAGGACATATATACGTGTAAAACTTTATCTACTAGGTATCAACAGCTGTTGCAAGCGTTGGCATTGTGGGCCTAGTGTCCAAATTCAGGTGCCCAAGGAAGGCTTCTTCTGCACGACAAGAGAAAGGTCACATGACCAGTAGGCAGACACTCACCCTTTAGGTGCGGAGACAGTGTCCCCTTTGCTTTTAGCGGAGGCTTTGTGCGGTGAGGGCGCTGGCGAGGGAGTTTTTTTTTCAATGAAGATAAGAAAATCACACTTTATTTTTCAAATACTGATTTCATAATTATTACATTATGGGGTAATCATGCCGAAATAAAAAAAATGGACAAAGGTTTTTGTACCGCTAATGGTCACAGGTCATATTTATAACAAGTAAAAGGTCAGTATGGGAACAATCAATAAAAAAGGGACATTTAGCAGAAATCTGTTTTAAAATAAAAAAAAAAAAAAAAATGCAGAAATTAAAATATTAATAAAATGCCCAAAAGGTACTTAATAAAAAAGTGAGCTCTTCCCATCCAGTGCAGCCGCACCACTGACTCACTGCACGCATTGCCGGTGCTCCTACAGGTGGCATGACGTCCAGCGTCATTCATTTCCTGTGAGCCTAGGCTCTCTGCATCAGTTAGGAGCACCCGCAGCTAGAAAAGGAAGAGGCCAATGTGCATCACATGACCAGCCAGAAAAAAAGGTATGCATGCTAAACTAGACTCAAACCATTGGGATCATCGACCGGTGACAATGAGACTGTCACAGGTCGGCTCAGTAGATCGGGAGGTGAGCGAACACATACCGGCGTTCGCTCACCTCTCGATCCTGACAGGGGAGGGGCTGGATTCCCCCTTCCGCGGTATACTGAGCCTGGGTGACGGGAGGACGCTAGTTTGTGTCCTTCCGTTACCCTAAGGAGAACTATTGGGAAAAGCCTTAACCCCATAGCTCTCCTTTAAGGGTTCGTGCCTGATTTTAGGATATTTTAAGGATAGCGGGTTGGGCCACGTCAAACATTCCTTTTACAGGGCATCCGGACCTGCTGGTTTACATCACAGATACAGTCCAATATTATAGAGCTACTCATTTCAAAGAGCACATAGACGTTCCGGGCTTGTTGGCCATCATCAGTGCAGTGGATGTAAACAATGGCTTCTATTGAGTAGGATATGGGGGATGTAACGAATCGCTGTAGGGCTTCCTGATACCGGAAGCTCAAGTATCGGGAGCATTTGGGAGAGTACGAGTACTCGGCATAGGTAT